ACACAGGAAAACTTGCATATAAGAGAATTAACTAAACATTTCTATATCCATTAATAAATAATTTTTTTCTCTTTATGGGCATATACATTTGTTGTGCAGGCAAGAGCTGGACTGTCTTCCTGACTTGGCGTTTTCTTGAGACTTTTGCCATAATGAGTCCCAGCTCTGATAATGTTCGTCATTTGATGCACGAAAACTTGGCCCGCTTTCGCCCGAAGAGAGGGAAAATGTCTCGTGGACTGCATCAACCCGAAGGTTGTATTAAGTCAACTGAAATATGACGTGAATCAGCTGATGTTTGTTGCTGATATCTACCCGCGAATTTCTGCCTAATGCACATTCATATAAAAATTAAAGTTTTGACACTAAAGAAGATAGAGTTTATTTTTTATGATTATGCATTTTGGCTTGATTTGTAAAGGGATTGCTTTCTATGAAAGTGAGCGATAAGTTTCTATTAAATTTGTTTTTTGCTCCTAATATCCTAGTTTAATAATGCGTCGTAATTTTGGCCTTCATGCTTTGCAAGGAAACGCGTCATCCGGCCAAGATGCGATTGGTCTGTGAACTCGACTACCAAGTCCTATACCAACACAACCCTCGCCAGATCGCCAGTCGCCGTCGCAACTGGCAGCTGAACCCCCTCGGTAGGGTTGTCCGGGCAAAAGCTGGTGTTGCCGACCTCACCTGGTCCTGTATCCCACCTGACGGCGTTAACACGGGGCCATTCAACAGCCCTCGACTCGGGCCCGTCTCGGTTGAGCCGAACGGCGAGCCACTGACCGGAGCCGATCTGAAGGGTCGTCCGGTCCAGATGGAGTTGTCTCCTCTTCACGAGTCCGCCTCGCGGTCGCTGTCTAGTTCCCGCAGTCGGACGGCGAGATCAAGCAGCCTCGACATTGACCACTTTCTCGGGCCCGAGCCGTCATCCGAGGCCGTCGGGCCGTCCACGAAGCCCTTGAAGAAGACGACGTCGCCCTGCCTCGAGGCAGAAGCAACTGTCGCCCTCTCCAGGCCCGGACTCGCCTCGCCGCCCACCGCCCGTCGGGCGGCGTCGAACCGCGACTCGCCAGTTGATCCGCAAGTTCGAGGCCCCGCCGACGAGTCGTGCTGTTCCAGCCTTGTCCGTCCAACCTTTCAACGCCACCATCGCCGGACCGGTCCTTCCTTGGTGGAGACCTTTGAAGCTGGCTGTGGAGCCTACGGACCTTGTTCGATGGAGGAGCGCGAGTTCGTCTATCCCGGCGAGCCTGCCTTCGGCGCGGCCTTCAACGAGGTCCAGATTCCGCAACCCGTGGATAGATGGACGGGGAAAAATCTGCTCTGCTGCTCTTGGCCCTTGGCCGGACACGGGCTCTTTCCATTGGGTGAGGGTCGGAAAGAGGCTTTCCCCTGCACCCGCGGTCGTCGAAGCTGGTGAGGAATGGGTAGTTGAATGTTCCCACAATCCGATGAGTAGGCCTCGGCATCGCATGCAATTCCACGCTTAGCCTTGCCTCCCGGAAGGTATTCGCTGTCAGGGCGGAAGGCAGGCTCGACTTCGTGATTGAAAGACAACATATTGTCACGAGTGCCAGTTGTTGAGGGGAGGAAGCCACTATTTTGGCAGAATACGTGCCATGAGGCAGGCTGAAAGGGTCTGGAGGCTAGATAGATCTGTGTTGGTTGGACTGAGACGCCAAGCCGACTGACGAAGGGAGGAATCTGTGGCTGGAGGCAGAGTTACAAGAGCAATAAGAATGAGAAAAAAGGGAATTTCGAAGAAATATTTAGTGACTTATTGTGACATGACTGTCAATTTTGGAGGAAGAGTTGGCTGAAAGAGATGCACAGTCGCGAATCTGCGCTAAGCTTTTGTCTGTACCACCGTGACAA